AGGTAAACAGCGACATGAGAGAGGTAAACAGGGACATGAGATAGATCAACAACGAAATGAGAGAGGGAAACTACGACATGAGAGTGGTAACCAGCGACATGAGAGAGGTAACCAGCGACATGAGAGAGGGAAATATCGACATGAGAGAGGTAACCAGTGATATGAGAGAGGTAAATAGTGACACCAGAGAGGTAAACAGCGACATGAGAGGGATAAACCGCGATATGAGAGTGGTAAACAGCGAGATGAGAGAGGTAAACAGCGACATGAGAGGGGTAAACTGTGACATGAGAGAGGTAACCAGCGACATGAGGGAGGTAAACAGCGACATGAGAGAGGAAAACAGGGACATGAAAGAGGTAAACAGCGACATGAGAGAGGTAAACAGTGACATGAGATAGGTAAAGAGCGACTTGAGAGAGGTAAACAGCGACATGAGAGTACCTACCAACGACATAAGTGAGGAAACCAGGGACATGAGAGAGGTAAACAGCGATATGAGAAAGGTAAACTGCGACATGAGAGAGGTAAACAGCGACATGAGAGAGGTAACCAGGGACATGAGATAGGTAAGCAGTGATATGAAAGAGGTCAACAGTGACTTAGAGAGGTAAACAGGGACATGAGAGAGGTAACCAGCAACATGAGAGAAGTAAACAGCGATACCAGAGGTAAACAGCAACATGAGGGGGATGAAGAGCGACATGAGAGAGGTTAGCAGCGACATGAGAAAGGTAAATAGCAACATAAGAGAGGTAACCAGCGACATGAGAGAGGTAAACAGCGACATTAAACAGGTAAACAGCGACATGAGAGAGGTAACTGGCGACATGAGAGAGGTAACCAGCGACATGAGAGAGGTTACCAAGGATTTGAGAGAGGTAAACAGCGACAAGACAGGGGTAAACAGCGACATGAGAGAGGAAACTGTTGGTTAGATTAGGCTTTAAGCAGGTGATTCAATGGCTCAGAAAATTTATGCAGCACCTCGTTATGACGCCCAGAAAAGCTATATCCAAACCTCCAATCGGTGCAACGATCGGATATGTTGCTGCGTGGTGCGTCAGATTTCTACTGAAAGTTGAATTACTCCATTCCGTAGCTTTACGAGTGAGCTATTGCGTTTGGCGCACTGGGGGGTAATCTGCCCTAGGAGAAATTGACAGTCCTCAGAGTCACTATAATTGAAGCTTACAAGTTCAGAGGCATGATAGAAAAGGCATTGAAGCACAGTTGGAAGGTAGGGATGGAAGGGAAGGATGAAAGGGAAGGACCCTGGAGGCCCATGGTCAAGAACATGACAAGAGTCAAAGTCTTGACTCCCCATCCTCAGGTTCAGCCAGGCTGGCAAGACAAAATTCACATTGTGCCAGGTTGGCCTCCAAACCCCAAATGCTGCAGCTGCAAGGTGGGGAAAAATGTCCCACACATGCTGGTCCCTCCTCGTTATAGATATAGCAGTTGACAAGGACTTCCAATGAGTTGTAACAAATCCGTCAAATATTTCTTCGTAACTTCTTCATATGTGCTCCGATTCCAACAATTCTTGGATCGTTGGAATGTGCTCGATGTCATGCACAATCCAAGCACATATGCACAAGCAGAAGATGAACATGCAAAGACATGCAAACCCAACAAACCATACAAACAATGTAGCACACAAAACACATGCAACGAAATGATGCGAACTAACGACAGGATAACGTGCAAACGAATATGCATCGTTGGCGGAAAATGGATCTTCCGACTCAAACAAGTCCCAGGCGAAGCTCCACTGTTCAAGGCATGATACGTGGCAAAGGGTTTGACCCAGAAGGAGTATCTCGACTTCTTCGAAACATTCTCGCCCACGGCCAAGCTCCCGACTGTGCGCGCTCTTCTTGATATAGCCGCTCGCGGCAACTTCGAGATCAAGTCCATGGACGCCTCCTCCGCCTTTCTCCAAGGCCAGCTCAAGGAGGATGTTCACATGGAACGCCCACCGGGGTTTCCTGGCACTTACCCTGTCAACACAGTATGGAAGCTGAAGCACCCAGTGTATGGCCTCAAGCAGGCTCCTCGTGAGTGGCACAACAAGGTGAAGGAAGTCCTCCTCGCACTTGACTTTCATCCCTCTGCCTCAGATTCCAGTCTTTTCGTTCGTCACTCCTCCGAATGTTCTAGTGGGTTGGGGTGTACTCACAAAATCCCAACCCCACCCAATTGTGATCCCCCCAATCTCCAATTACCCAATTGGAGATTCCAGAGATCCCAATGGGGATTCCCTCCGATTCCCTCTTCATCCATTCTCCTTTACCTTGCCATGTACTTATAGAGCCTTGGGCTCCTTACCTAATCAATCATTTCAGCTCTAATTCTTACAATCCATGTACACCAGTAGAAGCACAAGCGACTCGTCGCATGCACTCGCACGGAATCCAATCCCTTCCGGTGCACTGGCCAGCCTGTTGTACCAGCATCTCGGGGCCTGCTTCAAGCCATAGATGGCCTTGTTAGGTTTGCAGACACGACCGGTTCCATCCTCATAGCCAGGTGGTTGAACCATGTACACCTCCTCTTCCACAATGCCGTACAGAAAAACGGTTACGATGTCCATCTTCTTCATCTTCCATTTGCGCACAGCAGCTACCGTCAGCAGCACACGTAGCGTTGGAGACTTACCAATTGGGGCAAACACTTCTTTGTAATCTTCCTTCTCTTTCTGCTGAAACCCTTTTGCCACCAGCCTGCTCTTGTAAACTGATGGCTCTCCTTTCTCATCCGTCTTGAATTTTGCCAGCCAGTTGCACTGTATTGCCTTCTTCCCATTTAGCAAGTACACCAGGTCCGATGTGTGATACTCCATCTAGCTGTTGTACTCTGCATCTCTTGAAACGAGCCACTTCCCCCGTTGAGGCCCGGCTAGCGCATGATCCATGCTCGGAGGTTGTATTGGTGCGTAAAAGCAGCAGTATGCAGGCTCCTCGTCATCTGACTCTTGTGTAAGAAATAGACTTGAAATGATTGATTAGGTAAGGAGCCCAAGGCTCTATAAGTACATGGCAACGTGAGAGAGAATGGATGAAGGGGGAATTGGAGGGAATCCCCATTGGTATCTCCGGAATCTCCAATTGGGTAATTGGAGATTGTGGGGATCACAATTGGGTGAGGTTGGGATTTGTGAGTACACCCCAACCCACTAGAACATTCATAACCTAAACTAGGATATAAAAGTACAAATACAAAAATGGTATTTGCAGTCTATTTCTAACACACCCCCATAGACTGCAAACCCGGTCAAGGAGCACATAGCCCCATGGAACGGAGAAGGCGATGGTGGTCAGCCTTGCCGAGAGCCTTGGTAAAGAGGTCGGCGAGGTTGCAATCTGAGGCGATGTACCGTACCGTCAGCTGGTCACTCTGAACAAGATCTCGGATGAAGAAATGACGAAGTTCGATGTGCTTGGTGCGAGAGTGGAACACAGGATCCTTGGTGAGATGAATGGCACTCTGGTTGTCACACCACAGGGTGGGCGACTGCTGGGGGTAGCCTAACTCAGCGAGGAGAAAGGAGAGCCAGCGTGCCTCTTGAGCAGCCATTGTGCCCGCGTAGAGCTCGGCCTCGCAGGACGACAGGGAGACTGCAGAGGACCGAGTGGAGCGCCAGCTGATGACTCCGCTACCAAGGGTGAAGCAGTACCCTTGGGAGGAGCGTCTGTCAGTCTGGTCATCGGTGCATGAGGAGTCTGTGTATCCCTCGAGCTTGACTAGAGAGGTACCACCAAGAGTGAGGATGTAAGACTTGGTGGCTTGTAGATAGCGGAGGACCCTCTTGGCTGCAGACCAATGCAAGGCAGTGTAGCGTCCGGGGGAGACGTACGGAGAGAGGGCACTAACCGGGTAAGCCAAGTCTGGTCGAGTGCACATCATGGCATACATGAGTGAACCGACTACCTCAGGGTAGGGGTCCTTGTAGGCGTCAGGAGAAGGAACTGGAGGGGCCGTGAGCTGATGCTGTAGTGGGAGTGGAGTGGAGACAGAGTTACTGGAGTCCATGTCGAACCGCTTGAGAAGGTTGTCGATGTAGGACTCCTGGGAGAGCGTGATCGTGCAAGCCTGGCGGTCACGAGTGATCTCCATCCCCAGGTAGTTCTTGAGGTCACCAAGATTCTTCATGAGAACGGCGGAGCTGAGAGCAGACTGGACAGCTGCCATGTCGGCTGGATCTCTGGTGGCTAGAATGAAGTCGTCGACGTAGACGAGGATGTAGAAGGGCTCGGAGGAGTGACGAACGAAGAGACTGGAATCTGAGGCAGAGGGATGGAAGTCAAGTGCGAGGAGGACTTCCTTCACCTTGTTGTGCCACTCACGAGGAGCCTGCTTGAGGCCATACACTGGGCGCTTCAGCTTCCATACTGTGTTGACAGGGTAAGTGCCAGGAAACCCCGGTGGGCGTTCCATGTGAACATCCTCCTTGAGCTGGCCTTGGAGAAAGGCGGAGGAGGCGTCCATGGACTTGATCTCGAAGTTGCCGCGAGCGGCTATATCAAGAAGAGCGCGCACAGTCGGGAGCTTGGCCGTGGGCGAGAATGTTTCGAAGAAGTCGAGATACTCCTTCTGGGTGAAACCCTTCCCCACGCTTCCGCCCCATCCCCTTCCGACGCTCATCTCTTTGCCGTCTCCTCCATCGCCGCTGCTAGACTCCTAGCCGCCGCCTCTCTTTCCCTTCACAACTAGTTTTCTGTTGGGTGGATTTTCAAACATCCCCAGTGCGCCAAACGCCATAGCTCTCTCGCTAGTTGACAGAATTGAGTGATTCGACTTGCAAAAGAACGCTCTTGGTGTCAGCGACTACGTCGTAAAATTGCAGACTGATTCACCGTTTAGATTGTTGGATATCGCTTTCCGAAGTTCGCGCACTTTCCTGAATATGATCACGAAGTGGTACTGAAATTTCCACCAAGTCCTACTTTCATCAGCTAACTGCCATCTTTCCCCATCAGCTAACTGCCATCAGCTAGTAGCAGCAGCAGCAGAAGGAGCAGCAGACGCAGCAGCAGCAGCATGAGCAGCAGCAGCAGCAGCAGCAGCAGCAGCAGCAGCAGCAGCAGCAGCAGCAGCAGCAGCAGCAGCAGCAGCAGCAGCAGCAGCAGCAGCAGCAGCAGCAGCAGCAGCAGCAGCAGTGGGAGCAGCAGCAGTAGCTACAGTCATCCCCATCCTCCCCTCCTCTTTGAGCCGCCGTGGGTCCACCCGCCGCCGCTCCCTCCCAGCCACCGCGGGTCCACCCGCTGTCGCCTTCCTCCCACTCCGTGTCACCAATGGCATCCTTTCCCCCTCCTGTCGACGTTCCGACCCTCGATCATTTGGTGGGCGCTGCCGACAACTCAGCAACCAACTGGTATTCCTTCGTCGGCAGTGCATATGTCCTGCCATTCCGCCTCCTGGACATCATGCTTGGTCTCCCAGAGGGTGACCTTGGGGACCCGCCGCCTCACCCTGGCGATCCCCCCCCTCTCATTCCCCATCCCGGCGAGGAACCTCTGCCCCCGTGGTACCCGTTGGCACCAGCACTCGCGCTGCCACCGCTGAGGTTGAGCAGCTCTTCGTTACTCAGCGTCGTGAGTTCCTCGTGCTCCATACTGATTACCTGATCGCTTTGGAGGAACACGAGCGGTCGGCCACCCTCCGCAACCAGCATGCCGCTACCGCCGCTGCTTATGCCGCTGACTCTGCGCGATTTGCCGAGCGTCGTCGCGCTTGGCTCGAGGCGGAAAGCCGTGCTACTGGTGCCCTTCTCCTTGCCATCCCGCCTGCGCTCATGCGCAACTTCCAGGCACGTCGCATCGGCTCCCGCCAGATCTGGCTCGAGCTTGAGGCGATGTTCGAACGCACCGACTTCGACGCTGTCGGACCGCTCCTCAAGGAATACTTCAGCATCACGATCGAAAATAGTGCTGGCGCCGTTGACTACACCAGCCGTCTCCTGGACCTTGCCTCCCGCCTAGAGGCTCGCCAGACTACTCTCCCCTCCAACCTCCAGATCTATCGTCTCCTCGAAGGCCTCTCCCCTCAGTATGAAGTGCGCGTCATCGCCTTCACCGAGGCTCAGCCCCGTGCCTCCCTTGACACTGTGGTCCAGTGGATCATTGACGCTGAGGCCCGCCTTCTCTCAACCCCCCCCTCCGGCTTGAACTCCACCGAGTCCCCAAACCCCCAGCTTGCTGTTGCACAGCCGCGTCGTGGAGGGCGCCCACGTGGCGGCCGCACCAACCCTCAGGGAGGGGGTGGAGGTGGCGGTTGTGGGGGCAACGGAGCCAGCGGCGGTGGTTGCGGGGTCGAGGGTGGCAGCAGTGGTGGTGGTGGTGGCAGTGGTGGCTCATCTGGTAGCCGTGGTGGCCGCCCTGGCACTCTCCCCCCATGTTCCTATCTTCGCCGTTTTGGTCCCAGGGCGGGTGAGCGCTGCACCCAAACCAACCATCCCCCAACGACCTGCTTCAAAGCGTATGATGACGCCTGGTTCGAGCGCGGCAACACTGGCACACCCCCACGCTGGTCTGCCATGGATCCCCGCCCCTCTCTCCAGGATGTCAAAACTCTTCCGTCTTTCCTCCCCTCTCATCTTCAGCTCGCTTCCTCTTCCTCCTCTATCGCTGACCCCATAATTCCCCAGGAGCTGCAGCAGTTTCGCCGCTTCCAGCAGCTACAGCAGTTTCGCCGCTTCCAGCAGCTGCAGCTGCACCAGCAGCTACAGCTGCCGCAGCAGTGGGGCTCTGGTGGTGAGGCTGCAGCCGCAGCTGCAGGAGCCGCAGCCGCAGCATCTGCATGGCAGCAGCAGCAGCTTGGCTTTGGCACCGCCACCATGGCTGCCACAGCCACAACAGGTCCTCCTGGCTTTCCCCTTTGGGGCTCTCCTTCCCCTAGTGCTCCCACCTCCCACTCCAGCTTTCTAGGCGAGCTCATGCGTTCTTCCCCTGCTTCCCCTTCTATGTATCCCTCTGTTTTTAATGCCAGTGATTTCCAGTACCCCATGTCTTCAGCTCCCTCCTCGCCCACGATAGACTTTGTTCTCGATAGTGGTGCCACTAAAACTGCCCTCAAAGACGCCGGCACCCTCACCTCCCTCCCTTTCCCCACCAACGTTGATGGCGCTGATTCCAGCTTCTCCATCCCTTGCACTCATCTCTCCACCCTCCCCTGCCCCCCCTTCCCCTCCGGAGTGGTCACTGGTCTCCACATTCCCTCCCTTCGTCATAACCTGCTCTCCATCCGTGAACTCCAACAGGCTGGCATCACTACCCTCTTCCCCGCCTCTGCCACCTACTGTGACCTCCTCCACGGCCCCACTCGCCGCCTCCTTCATCGCCTCCCACTTTGTCCTCGCTCTCGTCAGTACATCCTCAGCACACCGCGCCCCTCCTCATGCCACGTGACCACTCGTGCAGGCACCTCCACTCTCCCCCCTCCCCTCCCTCTAGAGCCACCTTCCTCCAACTCCACCTCCTCCCCATGCTCTTGTCGCGCACTGTCCCACCCCGCTGTTCTCATCCACCACCGCCTTGGTCATATGAACTTTCCCACACTTCGTAAAGCCGTCTCCTCCCGCTTGCTTGACGGTCTTCCCCCCACTCTTCCTCCCCTCCCGTCCTCTTCCGCTCCCCCATGCGCCACATGCATTCATGGAAAGCTCAAACAACAGCCTCACCTCAGTCATCCTTCCTTTGCTGCTGCCCCCCTTGACCTCGTCCACATGGACCTCTGGGGCCCTAACCCTTCCCCTTCCCGCCAAGGGCACTGGTACATGCTTGTCCTAGACGACGACCACAGCAGGTACTCCTCGGTGTTCCTCCTCCACACGAAGGACGAGGCCCCTGCTGTCATCGTTACCTGGGCCGAGCAGTGCCGAGTCCACTTTGGTCGCCCCATCCGCCGCCTCCATTCCGACGGCGGTGGTGAGTTTCTCAACCGCACCCTCTCCTCCTACTGCTCAACCCATGGCATCCAGCAGACTCATACCCTTCCCCACTCCCCTCAGCAGAACGGTGTTGCTGAGAGTCGCATTCGTGAGATCACCAAGACGGCCCGCTGCCTCCTCACTCATGCCTCCACGCCCCCTTCTCTTTGGGGCTATGCCCTTGTCCATGCTGCTCTCCTTACTAATCTTTACCCACATCCTCAACGCCAGTCTGTCACTCCCACTGAGCTCTGGGCTAGCACCAAGCCAGATGCTGCCATTCTTCGTATCTGGGGTTGCAAGGCATATGTCCTCATCCCCCCACCTGACCGCTCTCGGCAGGCAGGAAAGCTCGCCTCCAAGGCCATTGAGTGTGTCTACCTTGGCCACGCTCGCTCTGTCCCTGGTTACCTCTTCCTTCACCCGTCCTCAGGCCGCCTCCTACAGAGCCGTGACGTGGTGTTCGATGAGAGCATCCCGTTCTATCATTCTGTTCCGCCTTCCGACCCACTTCCTCCTCTCTCCCGCCCCCTCACCTGGGCTGATGCTGTCATTCCCCCACTCCTTCCCCAGGCTCCCCTCCTTCCTCCAAATCCTGCTCCTCCCCCTCCTCCTTCCTCAGGTGACATTTACGACCCAGCTGTCCCTGACTCCCCTGCTCACTCTGCCTCATCGCACCAGCACCAGCAGCAGCAGCAGCAGCAGCAGCAGCAGCAGCAGCAGCAGCAGCAGCAGCAGCAGCAGCAGCAGCAGCAGCAGCAGCAGCAGCAGCAGCAGCAGCAGCAGCAGCAGCAGCAGCAGCAGCAGCAGCAGCAGCAGCAGCAGCAGCAGCAGCAGCAGCAGCAGCAGCAGCAGCAGCAGCAGCAGGAGGTGCAGCAGCGGATGGAGCAGCAGCAGCAGCAGCAGCAGCAGCAGCAACCGCAGGCAGTGCAGCAACAGCAGCCGCAGCAGGAGGTCCAGCAGCAGCACCAGCAGCAGCCACAGCAGCAGCCGCAGCAGCAGCAGCAGCAGCAGCCACTGCAGCAACCTCATCGGCATCGCCGCACCATCTCTCCGTTCATCCTCCCACGCATCCACACTCGCTCTGACGGCCCACTCATAGGCCATCCATGGGGTTGGCCAACACCACCCCCACCCTCCCTTCCCTTCATCGAGGACTCCCATGAGGAGCTCATTGGCGTTCAGCAACAAACACCTTCCCTCACGCCTCTCTACCCGGGCTTCCTTGGCCTCCTTTTCCTTGGCATCGCTACCGCTCCCACCAGATTCACTCCGTCCAACTTCCTTGAGGCCATCACCTGCCCCGATGCTGCCAAGTGGATCCAGGCTATCTTTGCTGAATGCGAGGCCTTCATCCGCAATGCCTCATTCGTTAACATTGTCCCCTCTCCTGACGAGGTCATTGTTGAAGGCCTGTGGGTGTTCCGAGTGAAGCAGCTGCCGGGTGAGGAGCCGGTCTACAAGGCCCGGTATTGTGCCAAGGGCTTCACCCAAACCCATGGCATCGACTACTGGGAGACATTCTCTCCCACTGCCAAGCTCCCAACTCTCCGTGCCATCCTCGACTATGCTGTTCGCATTGGCATGGAGATTGCCTCGATGGATGTCTCCAACGCCTTCCTGCAAGGCGAGCTCCAGGAGCGGGTCCTCTTGCGGCGGCCTCCAGGCTTTCATGCAGCCTTCCCTGCCAACACAGTCTGGGAGCTGCGCCGCCCGGTTTATGGCCTCAAGCAGGCTCCTCGCGATTGGCACAACAAGCTGGCCGCCACTCTGCAGTCCTTGGGGTTCCATGCCTCTCAGTCTGATGCCAGCCTTTTCCTTCGCTCCTCTCCCACCCGCTTCTTCATCCTGGTGTATGTCGACGACATGATCCTGTTCGCTGACGATGCTGCCGCCATGCAGCAAGTGAAGGACGCCCTGCATGCTCGCCTCAAGTGCAAGGACCTGGGTGAGCTCAAGCACTATCTGGGCATGACCATCACCCGGGACCGCGCATCACGCACCATTACCCTCTCTCAGTCCTTCTACATCGACCAAGTCTTGCAGCCGTTCGACATGGCGCAGGCCAAGCCGGTTACCACTCCCCTGCAGACTGACCACCAGCTTGCCCCTCCTCCTGCTCCCTCCTCCTCTGACCATCCTTACGCTGAGCTCGTCGGTTCGCTGATGTACGCTATGATGTGCACCCGCCCCGACCTTGCCTACCCCATCAGTGTTCTTGCTCGCTTCGTCGGTACCGGTCGTCACACTGATGAGCACTGGGCTGCAGCGAAGCGGGTACTCCGCTACCTCCGTGGTACCAAGGACTATGTCCTCACCCTCGGAGGCTCTTCTCCTCCCCTCCTCTCTGGCTTCAGTGACTCCTCCTGGGCTGACTCCCAGCCGGATCGCCGCTCCTCTCAAGGCTACGGCTTCACCCTTGGCAGCGGCCTCATCAGCTGGCGCTCCACTCGCTCCTCCTCCATCGCCCTCTCATCCTGCGAGGCTGAGCTCTATGCTTGCACCATGGCCGCTCAGGAGGCTCGCTGGCTCACCTTCCTCCTTGCTGAGATCGGTGCTCCTCAGCGCTGTCCCACCCTCTGGTGCGACAACGCCAGCACCATCCATCTCACAAAGGACCCTGTCTTCCATGGCCGCTCCAAGCACATTGCACTCCGCTACTTCTTCGTTCGGGAGTTGGTCCAGCAAGGTCACTTGGTGGTCCGCAAGATCGCTGCAGAGGCCAACTTGGCCGACATCTTCACCAAGGCCCTCCCGAAGACCGCGCAGTCTGCCCTTCTCCGCCTTCTCAGCCTTGGGCCCCGCCCCCCTTCCTGATTCTGGGGTTGTCCATTATATATACACTAGCTTTGCATGCTATGGGGTTGTGTTAGAATATACCATCCTATGCTAGTTGTGTATATTGTGTTTACATCCCTAGTTGGGTGTACACCTGTGTTGGGGTATCAATCCAACCCAATTGTGGTTGGAGCCCCCAAACACAAGGACCACAATTGTGGGGGCACCACAAGTGGGTTGGCTAAAACACTGGTGGTACACCATACTTGGACCACCTCCAACTGGTGGTCAACCACATTTGGAAGGATCCTCCCTCCCTTCTGATTGGTCCTAACCCCCTTTTCCCTTCCAACCTTCCCTTCCTCGCTCATCCCTCTCTTCCTATGTAATGCCTTTGCTTCATCAATAAACTGAACCTTTCTGTTTCTAACAGTCTCATGTCGCTCTTTACCGCTCTCATGTCCCTGTTTACCTCTTATATGTCGCTGGTAACCTCTCTCATGTCGCTCTTCACCTCTTACATGTCGCTGGTTACCTCTCTCATGTCGCAGTTTACCTCTCTCATGTCGCTGGTTACCTCTCTCATCTCGCTGGTTACCTCTCTCATGTCGCTGGTTACCTCTCTTTTATCGCTGGCTACCTCTCTGATGTCGCTGTTTACCTCTCTAATGTCGCTGTTTCCTCTCTCATGTCGCTGCTTACCTGTCTCATGTAGCTGTTTACCTCTCTCATGTCGCTGGTTACCTCTCTCATATCGTCCTTTGCCTTTCTAACATCGCTGTTTACCTTTCTCAAATCGCTGTATCCCTCTCTCATGTCGCTGGTTACCTCTCTCATGTCGCTGTTTACCCCTCTCATGTCGCTAATTACTTCTTTCATGTCGCTGGTTACCTCTCTCATGTCGCTGGTTACCTCTCTCCTGTCACTGGTTACCTATCTCATGTCACTGGTTACCTCTGTCGTGTCGCTGTTTCCCTCTCACATGTCTTCAGTTACCACTCTCATATCGCTGGTTACCACTCTTATGTCGCTGGTTACCTCTCTTCTGTCGCTGGTTACCTCTCTCATGTCGCTGGTTACCTCTCTCATGGCGCGGTTTTCCTCTCTCATATCCGTGCTTACCTCTCTTATGTCGATTGTTTCCTCTCTCATGTCGCTGGTTACCTCTCTCATTTTGCTGTTAATCTCTATCATGTCGTTGTTTACCTCTCTGACGTCGCTGTTTACCTCTCCCGTGTCGTTGTTTGCCTCTCTTATATCGCTGGTTACCTCTCTTATGTTGCTGATTGCCTCTCTCATGGCGTTTCTTACCTCGCTCATCTTGCTGGTTACCTCATGTTGCAGGTTACCTCTCTTCTGTCGCTGGTTACCTCATGTCGCTGTTTACCTCTCTCATGTCGCTGTATACCTCTCTGATGTCGCTGGTTACCTCACTTATGTCGCTAATTACTTCGTTCAAGTCGCTGGTTACCACTCTCTTGTCGCTGGTTACCTCTCTCATGTGGCTAGTAACCTCTCTCATGTCGCAGTTTACCTATCTCGTGTCGCTGTTTACCTCTTTCATATCCCTGGTTACGTCTCTCATGTCGCTGGTTACCTCTCTTATGTCGCTAGTTGCCCCTCTCATGTCGTTGCTTACCTCTCTCATGTCGCTGGTAACTTCTCTCATGTCGCTGGTTACCTCTATTTTGTCGCTGGATACCTCTCTCATGTTGCTGTTAACCTCTCTCATGTCGCTGGTAACCTCTGTCATTTCTCTGGTTACCTCTCTCATGTCGCTGGTCACCACTCTCATGTCGCTGGTTACCTCTATCATGTTGCTGGGTACCCCTCTCATGTCCTTGTTTGCTTCTCTCACGTCGCTGTTTACCTCTCTCATGTCGTTGTTTACCTCTCTCATCTCGCTGCTTACCTCTCTCATGTCGCTGTTACCTCTCTCATGATACTGGTTACCGCTCTCATGTCGCTGGTTACCTCTCACATGTTGGCTGGTTACCTCTCTCATGTCGCTGCTTACCTCTCTCATGTCGCTGGTTACCTCTCTCATAACACTGGTTACCTCTCTCATGTCGCTGGTTACCTCTCACATGTTGCTGGTTACCTCTCTGATGTCGCTGGTTACTTGTCACATATCTCTGTTTAGCTCACTTAAGTCGCAGTTTACCTCTCTCATGTCGCTAGTTACCTCTCTAATGTCGCTGCTTACCTGTCTCATGATGCTGTTTACCTCTCTCAAATCGCTGGTTACCTCTTTCATGTCGCTGGTTTCCTCTCTCATGTCGCTGGTTAGCTGTCTCATGTCACTGTTTACCTCTCTCATGTAACTGGTCACCTCTCTGATGTCGCTGGTTACCTTTCTCATGTCGCTGTTAACCTCTCTCATGTCGCTGGTTACTTGTCTCATATCTCTGTTTAACTCTCTCAAGTCGCCGTTTTCCTCTCTCATGTCGCTGGTTACCTCTGTCATGTCGCTGGTTACCTATCTCATGTCGCTGTTTTCCTCTCTCTTGTTGCTGTTTACCTCTCTGAATTCCCTGTTTACCTCTCTCATGTCGCTGTTTACCTCTCTCATGTCTCTGTTTACCTCTCTCATGTCGCTGTTTACCTGTCTCATTTCGCTGTTACCTCTCTTATGACATTGTTTACCTGTCTCATGTTGCTGGTTACCTCTCTCATGTCGCTGGTTGCCTCTCTTATGTCGTTGTTTACCACTCCCATTTTCGTTGGTTACCTCTCTCATGTCGCTTGTTGCCTCTCTCATGTCGCTCTATACCTCTCTCATGTCGCTTTTTGCCACTCTCATGTCGCTGGTTTCCTTTCTCATATCGCTGGTTGCCTCTCTCATCTCGCTGGTTGCTTGTCTCATATCTCTGTTTACACTATATGCAGGCCAATCTTGGGATACAAAAAAAAGCTTCACATTTGATGAAACTACTATCGTTAACAGTAAAAAGCAGATATAACCAATGACTGTGCATGTGAACAATTAGTTCCAGGCGGAAGCAGCAACTTGAACAACCCTTAAACTAGTACCTGGTCCACCGCCCTTTAGCCCTAATCACTGCTTTCACCCTCCTGGGCATGCTGTTGATCGAATTGGAGCACACCTCTGATGGGATCTTCTCCCACTCCTCTTGTATACGCTCCCACAGGTCCACCATACCATTAGGAGGTGTCTCATGCTTACCCAGCTCCCTTTCAAGATGAGCCCAAAGATGCTCAATGGGGTTCAGATCAGGAATTCCTGCCGGCCACTCTAGGACCCCATACTCCTGCTCCTGAAGCCACTGCTGCACCACGCGGGACTTATGCTTGGGGTCGTTGTCATGCTGGAAGATCACATCCGAGGGGGTTAGCTTGTAAAAGTCGATGGTATTCTTCAGCTCGTCTTGCAAAATGCTCAGATACAGCGGCCCGTCCATCCGACCATCGATTTTGCACATGAAACCCGCCCCCTCAAACGTCATACATCCCCAGATCATCAAGCCGCCGCCCCCGTGTTTGACGGTTTGCTTGATCTGGTGGTGTTGGAGAGTCATACCTCCACGAACCCAGGCGTACGCGCGGCCGTAAGAGCAGAACCGGCAGTGTAAGAGCAATACTTTCCGCCAGTGTAAGATCGCTGGTTACCTCTCTCATGTTGCTGTTTACCTCTCACATATCGCTGCTTACCTCTCTGATGTCGCTGGTTACCTCTCTTATATCGCTAATTACTTCGTTCATGTTGCTGGTTACCTCTCTCATGTCGCTTGTTACCTCTCTCATGTAGCTGGTTACCTCTCTCATGTCGCTGGTTACTTCTCTCATGTCGCTGGTTACCTCTCTCATATCGCTGGTTACCTCTCTCATGTCGCTGGTTACCTCTCTTTTTTGTCGCTGGTTACCTCTCTCATGTCGCTGGTTACCTCTCTTTTTTGTCGCTGGTTACCTCTCTCATGTTGCTTGTTACCTCTCTCATGTTGCTTGTTACCTCTCTCATGTCGCTGTTTACCTCTATCATGTCACTGTTTACATCTCTAATGTCGCTGTTTCCTCTCTCATGTCGCGGTTTACCACTCTCATGTTGCTGGTTACCTCTCACATGTTGCTGGTTACCTCTCTGATGTCGCTGCTTACCTCTCACATGTTGCTGGTTATCTCACTCATGTCGCTGCGTACCCTACTCATGTCGCTGGTTACCTCTCACATATCGCTGTAAACCTCTATCATGTAGCTGTTTAACTCTCTAATGTCGCTATTTCCTCTCTCATGTCGCGGTTTACCTCTATTATGTCCCTGGTTACCTCTCCCATATCGCTGTCAACCTCTATCATGTTACTGTTTACCTTTCTCATGTCGCTGTTTACCTCTCTCAGGTCGCTGGTTACCTGTCACATGTTGCTGGTTACCTCTCTCATATCGTTGTTTGCCTCTCTCATGTCACTGTTTACCTCTCTCATGTCGCTGGTTACCTCTCTCATGTCGCTGGTTACCTCTCTCATGTCGCTGGTTACCTCTCTTTTTTATCGCTGGTTACCTCTCTCATATCGCTGTAAACCTCTATCATGTAGCTGTTCAACTCTCTAATGTCGCTGTTTCCTCTCTCATGTCGCGGTTTATCTCTCTTATGTCCATGGTTACCTCTCCCAT